GATATGTACCTTTCATGAAGAAAGCCTGCCTAAGAATGACGGCCAATACAAAGGAAAACAAAGATGTGTATATGTGTTGAGGGCAGAGAATCAAGTGACCAAAGAGGCAGACACAGTTGCATACATGATCAAGAAATAGAATACATACAGACCCCTGACAAACATCCTGGGTATCTGTATTCCGCTAAGTGAATCTAGCAGATCACTTTCAGGACCTCTTCAGATACAGAGATAACGGTCTCACTATCTATATAGCCAGGCTGGCCTTGAACTTATTACTCCTGCTTCAGCTTCCCCATTGGCTAGGAATTATAGGTGTTGCACCACAACACCTGGCTCATAAATTCCCTTTTTGTTTAAGCAGTTTGAAATTGGACTTGTTTCACTTGCAAACAAAAGAATCCTAACTAATGAAATCCAAAATACAACAATCAGTACTGCAATCCCAGCCCCTTTGAACACTGTCAAATTGCCATCACCACTAATGATTTCCATCATGGGACAGCGACATTATTAACCAGAACTTTTACCAATTACCATCTCTAAACTGAATCAACATTTGTTTACTTCCTGCCTGTATGCAAAGCAATGAATCCTTAGCTAGGCACTTCAGACCAGAAATAAGTATGACAAGAGTCCTTCTTCAAAGAGCTCAAGACCTATTTGGAGAGACTATATATACCATCCATCTACCCACCTAGTATACAAGATAAGTAATTTTATGAGGCCTAAGTCTCAGAATATGCTAAGCACTACACTAAGCAGGCAAACAGTCAACTCATCTGATGCTTAGAGAAGGAAGGGGGGATTAACAATTTGTTTTGAAGGTAATTCCAAAATGGCGGCTAGAGGTAGGAAGCAGAAAGCCGAGCCTCCTATAGTGAAATCTTGGAGAGACGCTGGAGACACACTTTGCAGGCATAATCACCGGAGAAAAGGCATAACTTTGACTCCTCCACATCTCCAGCCGGCGCAGAGAATCTCCACTTCACGTTAAACGGAAACCGAGGAGGCCCCCCGGGCCGCCAGTGGCCGGCGCCCATACGGCTTGGGAAGACGCGGACAGGTGAGCTTCGCGGTACTGCGGTTCCCCACAGACAAGCCTGGGCCAGAGCAGCATAGCCCCTGGACAGACTGACCTCCACCGGGAAAAAAAGAGAAACTGAGTACTAAGCAATAAGAACAGTTAAGACACGCTGGAAAGAGGGTGGGGCGCGCCCTGAGCGCTGAAGATGGGGAAGGGAATCCTTCCCGGGACTGTAAATAAACGAGCCGGGCGGGCCGGAGAGGCTCTGGCGGGAGCGGGGCGCGCCAGCAACCAGGAGCGGGGACGCTTGTGAGAGAGGGAAGACCCACTTCCACGTGAACTGTAAATAAACACGCCGGCCTGACAACGCGGGGCAGTGTCGCCTTTCCAGTGTTGGAAAGGGAAAAGCCTGTAGCAAGGCCCCCCTCCCCGCACAGGAGAACTCTGAGCAAACAAAGCCTGTGGACCAGGTGAGTGCTAGCTCACCCCAGAGATCTGCATAAATAACGCCGCCAGCTACAGGCTGAGAGCAGCAGGCAGGCAAGCCACAGTTGCAGATACCACTCTCAGAACTGCCTCCAGACGTTTTTTTTTTCTTTTTCTCCCTACCTTTGATGAGAGAACAACCGAATTACACCTGCAAGCCGAAAAACTTACTGAAACTGTATTGCATTTGAACTGGGGACACTTGGTGGGGCTTTTTTTTTTTTTTTCTTCTGTGTGTGTGTGTGAGTGTAGTTTTGTTCTACTTTATGCATCCCCTTTGATGAGACAACTACAGAAAACAACATCTGAGGCACCAACTCCAGGACTGGAGATTGAGACGGACATCCAAATTATTAAGACTGAAATTGCATTGCATATAAACTTGGAAGTTTTTTGGTTTTTTTTTTTTTAATTTTTATTTTCCATTTTATTTTAATTCATTTTTAATATAGATATTACTTTCATATACTTATTTTTTATTTTTTTATCTTTGATTTTCAATCCTCTCTCTGTCTCTCTATTGTCTGTTTCAGCTTACTGTCGATTAGTACACTAACACTCCCTGTTTATACCTTTGAAACTCTCTTGTCTGATACCTTGTTCTGCTTTCTCCCTCTTGTCTGTATATTTGTTTCCCTTTTCTTTAACTTCTTGCTTTCCATCTCAGCTCACTCTTCATTCTCAATATTACCATTGTTATTATTACAGCTAGAAAATACTTAATTACACACAGTACAGGGACAGTAACAACACCAAGGACAATGACGGAAGACAGAAAAAACAGGAAACAGTTTCCCCCACAAGCAAAAAATTAGTACAGGAACAGAGGGGAATGAAGAGAACAGAAACTCAGATCCAGACTCCAACAAAATGAAGATAAAGTATGCCAAAGGACCCAATGAAGCCTACAAGAATAATTAAAAGAAGACATACTACAAGTACTCAATGAGAATTTTATAGAGATGAATAACTGGATAGGGTCCAACCAAATGTACAGGAGACACTCAAGAAAACTTCCAAGACAATAAAATAGAGAATTTGAAAAAAGCAAAGAGAAATAAAGGAAACCATAGAAGCACTGTATAAACACCAAAGTGAAAGAGAGAACACAATGAATAAATGGATAAATGAACTCAGGACAAAAAGATGTGAAAGACCTCTACAAGGAAAACTATACACTTCTGAAGAAAGAGATTGAGGAAGACTATAGAAAGTGGAGAGATCTCCCATGCTCATGGATTGGTAGAATCAACATAGTAAAAAATGTCGATACTCCCCAAAGTAATCTACATGTTTAATGCAATTCCCATCAAAATTCCAATGACATTCATTAAAGAGATTGAAAAATCTACTGTTAAATTTATATGGAAACACAAGAGGCCACGAATAGCCAAGGCAATACTCAGTCAAAAGAACAATGCAGGAGGTATCACAATACCTGACTTCAAACTATATTACAAAGCAATAACAATAAAAACAGCATGGTACTGGCACAAAAACAGACATGAAGACCAGTGGAACAGAATAGAGGATCCAGATATGAAGCCACACAACTATGAGCAACTTATCTTTGACAAAGGAGCTAAAAATATACGATGGAGAAATAGCAGCCTCTTCAACAAAAACTGCTGGGAAAACTGGTTAGCAGTCTGCAAAAAACTGAAACTAGATCCATGTATATCACCCTATACCAAGATTAACTCAAAATGGATCAAGGATCTTAATATCAGACCCCAAACTCTTAAGTTGATACAAGAAAGAGTAGGAAATACTCTGGAGTTAGTAGGTATAGGTAAGAACTTTCTCAATGAACCCCAGCAGCACAGCAACTAAGAGATAGCATAGATAAATGGGACCTCATAAAACTAAAAAGCTTCTGTTCATCAAAAGAAATGGTCTCTAAACTGAAGAGAACACCCACAGAGTGGGAGAAAATATTTGCCAACTATACATCAGACAAAGGACTGATAACCAGAATATACAGGGAACTTAAAAAACTAAATTCTCCCAAAACTAATGAACCAATAAAGAAATGGGCAAGTGAACTAAACAGAACTTTCTCAAAAGAAGAAATTCAAATGGCCAGAAAACACATGAAAAAATGCTCACCATCTCTAGCAATAAAGGAAATGCAAATTAAAACCACACTAAGATTCCACCTCACCCCTGTTAGAATAGCCATCATCAGCAACACCACCAACAACAGGTGTTGGCGAGGATGCGGGGAAAAAGGAACCCTCTTACACTGTTGGTGGGAATGTAGACTAGTACAACCACTCTGGAAAAAAATTTGGAGGCTACTTAAAAAGCTGACATCGATCTACCATTTGATCCAGCAATACCACTCTTGGGGATATACCCAAAAGACTGTTACTCCAGAGGCACCTGCACACATCCATGTTTATTGCGGCACTATTCACAATAGCCAAGTTATGGAAACAGCCAAGATGCCCACCACTGACGAATGGATTAAGAAAATGTGGTATCTATACACAATGGAATTTTATGCAGCCATGAAGAAGAACGAAATGTTATCATTCGCTGGTAAATGGATGGAATTGGAGAACATCATTCTGAGTGAGGTTAGCCTGGCCAAAAGACCAAAAATCGTATGTTCTCCCTCATATGTGGACATTAGATCAAGGGCAAACACAACAAGGGGATTGGACTATGAGCACATGATAAAAGCGAGAGCACACAAGGGAGGGGTGAGGATAGGTAAGACACCTAAAAAACTAGCTAGCATTTGTTGCCCTTAATGCAGAGAAACTAAAGCAGATACCTTAAAGCAACTGAGGCCAATAGGAAAAGGAGACCAGGAACTAGAGAAAAGGTTAGATTAAAAAGAATTAACCTAGAAGGTAACACCCACGCACAGGAAATCAATGTGAGTCAATGCCCTGTATAGCTATCCTTATCTCAACCAGCAAAACCCCTTGTTCCTTCCTATTATTGCTTATACTCTCTCTACAACAAAATTAGAGATAAGGGCAAAATAGTTTCTGCTGGGTATTGAGGGGGGAGGGGAGGGGGTGGAGTGGGTGGTAAGGGAGGGGGTGGGCAGGGGGAGAAATGAACCAATCCTTGTATGCACATATGAATAATAAAAGAAAAATGAAAAAAAAAAAAAAAAAAAAGAGAAGGAAGGGGCCTGAGCTACAGCAGTCAAAGAAGGCTTCTGGTGGAGACACAAGAGAATCTGAACTAGGCTTTGGAATGTGGACAGAATTTAAATGAGAAGACATGATGATCATGAGTTTGGTCTCTAGAGTTAGACAAATTTGATTGAAATCCAGGCTGTGCCACTGACTAACTTTGTAACTTTGGGGAAGTTATTTAACTTGTCTTTGCCTCAATTTCTTCATCTAAAAAATTATGATAATGATAGGATACCTACCTCATAGAACTGCTGTAAGAACTAAATGAGCTAACATATGTAACGTGCTGATAACTGTATCTGGCAAATAATAAACAATACATATATGCTATTATTCAAAGGAAGGTGCAGCACACTCTGGCCGGAAGAAATAGTCTCAAAAAAGGTGCACAGTGGGAAAGTACAGAGCTAATTTAGAGACCAGTAAATAGACTGAGCTGGAGAAGATGGCTCATCTGGCACTAGCAATGTTTACAGTTCACAAATGACCAATCAGAGGCAGGGAAAGTAGGTTGCCAAACACCTAGGTCTTTTTTAACAGCACACAGGAAGGTGGGGGCACCCATCTGAATCCTTTCCTGGGAGCTTTAGTACATGACATTATCCTGGCTTTGAGCACTTACATCCTATCTTTATGGCATTTTCAAGTCACTCTGAACCATTTCTTTAGCTACTGGTATCCAAACAAAGGCTCTGAGGGAACACACAGGACAGACTTGAGAATGTAAACTTACTGCTCTGTAACAGCCAAACTGGGTGGCAAGGAGGTAAGCCCATTGCCAGTGAGGAGCAGGACACGTAGGTGTGGCAGAATCCCCAGATCACAAACGGCCTCTGTAGTCAGGCTATTGAAGGAAAGGTCCAAGAACTACAGTGCAAAGACAAAAAGATGAGGGAATTGAATCAATGTGTGTCACAACAATGCTCAAGACTTGAGGGTGGGCTGGCTACATTTTCCCCTTAGCTTTTTGGAAAGCCCCATAACCCACAGGATAAACCCTTCCTGAACTGGCACTCAAGGCCTAGTGGAGTCAGTTCCATCTATCTTCAAGCCTTACCTGCCACTACACATCTTTGTCTCCTTTGGTGCTGGCTCAATGGTCTCCTCATCCCACCTATCACTCCCTGCTTGTGCTTTCCAATTAAACAGGAATGTCCTTCCTACATGCATCAGAATCTGAGACTCAAAAGGCCAACCCAAAGCTGCCCACTTAAAAACTCTTTCCTTATCCACAAGCCAGATGGAATTGCTTCCTCTCCTGACTTGAAGTGCTTTATCTAAACAGCCCCAAGGGTACTTATCAGTATGCCAGGTACCTGAGACAGATGGACACATATGTGAGGAAAAAGGATACTGGTATATGAATATGCCTTGTAAAATATGTGGCACGCAATGGAGGACTAGACCACAGGCCTTGAGATCAAGGACTATGCCACTGTAACACTATATCCTTGTAGCCTAGCATAGGAGTGGGCACAAAGTAGGTGCACATAAAAATCAGCTGAAGTGAGTTGGCTTATAATGACAGTGGCCCCAAATGGTCACCCTATCATCAACTAGCTTCTGATTGGCCATCTAGATTCCTAAGATAGTTGACTGGGGTCAAGGGGCCAGGCAAGAAGCTGAATTTCTCTCTTTAATGACAAAGGCATTTGGGACAAACATCTGCCCAATCTCTGTCCTCTCTTTCCTAAACTTCTCTAGACGCTCATTTTAGCTCCTCTATATAAGCCAGCATCCTTTCCTGTATCCCTACTTCTATATGCTTCCCCACACCCTGCCATGCACACACAGTGAAGCCTACTGAATGAGGTTGAGATCAGCATCCTATCCAGCTATGGCAGCAACAAGGTCTCTGGTCAGCCTCATCAATGTCACATAGACAGTGAGACATATACACACTGTAGTTCACTGCCCAAGAAAGACTACGTTTGGTCTCACTTGTGGTAATGAACTGATGGGATCTGAAGATCTGGGTTTATATTCTGGCTGTATGATTTGGACTTAATCTGGGCTCCCTTATCTATAAAGTAGAAATAAGTGACTCTTATGTTGATAAAGCCTTTAGCCTGGAGTCTGATACACAGTTAACTGCTTACTTAATGTCTATCATCATCATCATAATCCTTTCATTCATCACTCCCATGTTGAAAGCTTACTTTGAACCAGTTCCTGTATACTGGGAGCTCCCGCCTCCTCAGGTAGCTATGTACACCACACAACACACACACACACACACACACACACACACACACGCACGCACGTAATGCCCCTGGGACAGATGTCTGGACGCACACCCATGGGTGCAAAGAAGAATGGTCAGGTCTACTGGGGGTAAGGGCAGGTTTCACAGAGCAAGCTGTCTTTAAGAGACTAGCAGGTATTCACCAAATTGTTAAGGGCAAAAAGACATTCAAGTGATTAAGTGGCAGTGAGCAGGAGGCAGGAGGGAGGAAGCAGGATGCAGCCTCACTTGTTCTGAGAACTCTAAGTAGTTTGGATATCAATGAAGCCTATGGTATAGGAGAGGGCTTGATAAGACTGACCAGGCCACAAAAGTCACCAAGCACCAAAGTTGTGCTGATTCCATGCCACCATCAGCAAACTGAGGGTTCTCAAAAGAGGGCAATCCCACTTGGCTGGAGCAAAGAGAGGAGAAGGGCTGACAAGTCGGTTCAGATAAACACAGGTAAAGGTCTGTGTCTCTCTTCATTCTAGCCACACTGCACTATTTTACCAGTGTTGGAGCTCAGGAGTCAGAAAACCAAGGTCTGGAAAGCCAAATCTGGCCTGATGCCTATTTGTATAACTAGTGACTAAGAATGACTTTCATATTTAAGAAATAAAAGTAAAAGGATGTTTTACATGTGGAAATGATGTGAAATTTTAATGTCTGCATCATAAAGGTTTATTGAAAGACATCCATGCTCACTGGCCTGCATACTGTCTACACTGCTCTCCAACAACAGCAGATCCTATTAGTTATGACAGTTATGACATAATACTATAACATAACTACTCATAACAAAGACTAGGATTTACTTTCTGGCCTTTTACAGAAAAAAGTTTGTGGACCCCTATTCTAGTTGCTTGGGGGACTTAATGCTGAATTCCAATGTGCTTTCCATGGAATTAAGGGCAGCTCAATGAAATGAAGTCTTAGAATCACAGGTCACAGAACTTCAGAGTGGATCCAGAATTTACAAAGAGAAAAATTAAGTTCTAGAGAGGGCAAATGTTTTGGCCATGGAAGCATGGCAAAGTACTGGCATCACCAAGACTAACAATAAGGTCTTCTGACTGCCAGGGCAGGAATCCAGCTGAAGAATTTTCAAATCTGTAGGCAGAGAATCAAATCGTAGCAAAGTTAAGTTTTTCTAAATTGACTTGTGAACAATTCTAAATATGTGCTGTTTACCCTGGAGCAGCCTTTCTGACCATCAAGGACAGAAGATTCCTAACCTGGCTACTATAGCTGCTGAGTCACATCAAGTTTTATTACACATCAAGGTATTCATTACTGTGAGCTGCAAATCCAGGATATTTGAGAGGTTTATCTTTATTCATGGGGAGCCCTTGCAAATCATAAAGACATGAAAACAAATGACTAGTCCAGAGATTTGCTTTTCTTATTTATGTTGTGCATCCTAACTTTGGACTATTCACTTTTGAAAGGCTGGTTATGCTAGATAAATAATCTTCATCAGATGTTTTCCAACTGAAAGCAGGATACACAAAATATCAATCAGATTCAACTTTTAGATCCCAAGCTAGTTGGCTGTGGGGTCACAGTCTGTGGTAATGTCCTCTCTCCATGGCCACTGGTACTTGAAATTAAGGTTTGGAATAGTTGGGGGAACAAGACAAGATGCCTGGCACAATGCACAACACACAAGAGCTCAATGAATATTCTCTGAAAAAATAAATGGAAGTCTTTAAGAGGCTCCTAGGTCTAGAGGTAAGGGTAATAGCTCCTGGATCTCTAGTTTCTAGAATCCATTCCCCACCATCTATGCTAAAATCTACTACAAAATTGCTTGTTAACATAGCACCAAACTGCACTCAGTTGTTGTAAATTTACTTTCTCCCAATTTTATAGGATTTTTGAGAGCTGTTTCCTGGACCACTCCTGTCCCAAATCATACTAAATTTCTGTTATCTTCTAAGTGACTTAAAACTGAAGGGAGCAGTTACCATTACAAAGAATGTGAGGACAATATGATCTGTCTTAGGAAGGTGGCCATTCCAAGACGTTAAAGCTTCTTAAAACTCTGGCATGTAAAGGCCATCAACTGTGAAACAGTCAGTCTGGTGGAAGGTCCCTCTCTCTGCAAGATCAAGTTAAGTGGGGCTTGTATGAAGAACAGTTGACCCTGGATGATTGTAGATTAGATTGTTTAAGTTACCAACTCTATGGAGCTACCCCAAGGCTCACAACATGCAGACATTTTGCTAAGGTGTGAATGGGTAACACTTTAAGGCTGGCATGTGGGGAAGGGTCCATTACTCAGTGAGTGAGCCTGGTCAGGTGCCCAGCCCCACTCCAGGCTCTATCTGTGTTGTGTTCTACTCCATGCATGCAGTGACTTTCAGGTAGCAACAAGAGCTTTATTCCTTCGTGAAAAGTTGCCCTCAAGTCTTCATGAAAAAGTTGAAGAGGTAATTAACTTAGAACTATGAGAACATGAATGGAAAATGTATGATTATGGGAATTTAATTTAGGAGAAATCAGAAATGCAAACAAAATCTGTATTTTTGAGTCTGGGGTTTGGAGAACAGTTGTGGATGTACATGTGTCTAGAGTCTGCTATAGAACTCACAGGAGCCCAATTTTATTTTATCCTCATTCTTGGCCTAACCCAGCCCACTGGACTGATTCAGTTCACCCAGACCAGGATGGGTCTTTGGCATACGTCCATAATGTCACTAGTTCAGCTGGTTCAATCTGCTGTATTTAGCTCTTAATCTCCACGGCTCTCCAACCCTCACTGGAACCAGATCTCTCTCACAAACTCTCTCTCCCATGACAGTCTTTTTAAACTCATTTTTCTACATACTTCCTTTAACATGAATGACCCTTGGCATTTATTTTTCAGGACATGCACCATGGACAGAGGTATCATCTACCTGATGCCACTGCTATAACTATCATCACCATTCCCATCACCACCAGTACCATTTACCACCATACCCCCACCATCAATTACAACCATCACCACCAGCCTCCCTGTAGTCCAGCCATGAAACAAAGGCCTGGCTATAAAGGCCTAGAGAGCCCCTTTCCAAAAGGTATGATCTCTTTATAGGGGAGCAGGGGGACAAAAAAACTCCCTCTCCAACTTACTTGCAATGGCTTAAAATCTCCATATTTCACATAGACTGTCTTGATGCCATTGAATGCAAGCTCCAGTTCCTTTAAAGCCGGAAATGTGTGAAATGCCTCTACATAGGGAAGAGAAAGAGAGAAGGTGCAGCTTGCAAAGGACTTAGGAAAATATTACTAATGACCATTCACTGGTTCCCACTGTGTCAGGCCAGGCACTGTGAATAGTGCTTTACATACATGGCCTCTAAATCTCTAACAATCCTTGCAAATAAAGATTGCTACTTTCATTCTACGGCTGAGGAAATAGGTTAAAGTGATTTGCTAGAACTGAAATTGCAGGTAAGTGGAAGAAATAAGAATTGAATCTAAGTCTGCCCAACTGCAAAGCCCATTTGAAAATTATCTATTTCTGATTACAAAAGTTAAAAACATGCCCACCAAAATAGTTCAACATCACAGAGAAACAAAAGGTCCCTTTAATCTCAATACCAAGAAATAACTGTTAAAAAAAGTATCATGTTTATGCATGTTCACACCCCATACTTTTTCTCATGTGTATATTGAAATACACTTCTTTTTACCAAAGTGGAATCACTGGACTGGAAGTGTGGCACAAGCAGTACAGTTTGCCTGCCTAGCAAACGTAAAGCCCTGAGTTCAAACCCTATATAACTGAAAAGAAAACAAACAAAAAAAGGAATCATACTATACATGTTGTCTTGGGTTTTTTGAAGGGGGCAGTACTGAGGTTTGAACTTGGGGCCTCATACTTGCCAAGCAGGCACTTTACCCCTTGAGCCATGACCCCAGCCCTTACACATTGTATTTTGACTTGCTTCCCCTCCCCCATTTAACAGCATGACAGGAAGAGTCTATGTTAATACATACAACATCTGTCTAGTACCTTAATTATATTCTAGCAACTAGACATTCCCCCTATTGATAGCCTTTAGGCTATTTGGATAAAAGGAAATCAAACCTTTCCCTCTGCAGGAGAAGTGGATCTTAGCTAGTTCTAGCCCTGTTTCCCCTGAAACAAATGCTACGGTAACTATGTTACTAGGTAATACTGCTATGGTAAAAATGACCTTCAATTGGTAAATTGCATCTGGACCAGGAGAAACTATGTATCAATCATAAATATGTGTCCTTCATGAAAACTCTAGGAGCTATGTGTCTGGAGTGTTACAAAGGACACTGGTTCCTATGGGCAATGAAGTTTTTAAGCTAGGATGGCTTCTGTATTTACTGAATGAGAACTCATTGTCTTATACCTCAGGTGATCTCTGTGGGGGCCCTAGAGAATAGCTCATGGATGGCTAGATGGACTGCTAAATGGTTGGCTGTGAGGACGCCACTGAAGAGGAACTCCTGATACTATGCTCCTGGCACAATGTATGGAATTACTTGGAACCTTTTAAATGAACCAGGTGTACAGTGTGGTCTACAATATGCTTGTGAGTCAGAATGTTCAGCAGAGAATAATAAAAGACTACCTGGTGGGTATTTCAGGATATCCCAATGAACTTCCTAGCATAAGTGTTTCTACAGAATAAATTCCTAGAAGGAGAACTACTAAATTAAAGGCAATGACAACTTTTACATTTTAGCCGGGCACCAGTAGCTCATGCCTGTAATCCTAGCTACTTGGAAGATGGAGACTGAAGAACTATGGTTTGATGCCAGTCCAGGCAAATAGTTTGTGAGACTCTATCTCCAATTAACAGAGCAAAATGCATTAGAGGAGTGGCTCAAGTGGTAGAGCACCTGCTTTCCAACTGTGAAGCTCTGAGTTCAAAACCCAGTTTCACCAAAAATATTTTTTAAGAGACACTGTCAAAATATCTCCAAGATATCACATCAATTTATTTTATTATACTTCCACCAGTTGAATACAAGTGGTTCCATTTCAAAGCTGGCTGGCATCAGGCCTTTTCATTTTTGCCAATATTTGACAGAAAATAGTTTCTTAGTGCTGAGTGAGGCTGAGTATCTTTTCACATGCCTATTGGCCTTTGCATGTCAAGCCAGCTCCTAATAGGCCAATGTCTTCTCAAGGGTAGGGACCTCAAAAAACCAAAAATCGTATGTTCTCCCTCATATGTGGACATTAGATCAAGGGCAAACAACAAGGGGATTGGACTATGAGCACATGATAAAAGCGAGAGCACACAAGGGAGGGGTGAGGATAGGTAAGACACCTAAAAAACTAGCTAGCATTTGTTGCTCTTAACGCAGAGAAACTAAAGCAGATACCTTAAAGCAACTGAGGCCAATAGGAAAAGGGGATCAGGTACTAGAGAAAAGGTTAGATCAAAAAGAATTAACCTAGAAGGTAACACCCACGCACAGGAAATCAATGTGAGTCAATGCCCTGTATAGCTATCCTTATCTCAACCAGCAAAAACCCTTGTTCCTTCCTATTATTGCTTATACTCTCTCTACAACAAAATTAGAAATAAGGGCAAAATAGTTTCTGCTGGGTATTGAGGGGGGGAGAGGGAAGGGACGGAGTGGGTGGTAAGGGAGGGGGTGGGGGCAGGGGGGAGAAATGAACCAAGCCTTGTATGCACATATGAATAATAAAAGAAAAATGAAAAAAAAAAGGGTAGGGACCTTATTAGATGCTTCTTTAAAAATACCCCTCAAAATAACTGTGACAAAACAGAGTTCATCCCATTTCTCTTATTTGCCCCTAACTCTGTCTCGGTGACCACACCCTCGATTCCTCCGTCTCTCCATATCCCCACAGGATATGGAGACCCCTATGATTTCTACTTCCTTCTGAATCATTCTATCTCAGTACCCTTTACTTTCTCTCATGGCTAGGATCAAGCCTCATTTCCCCTCCTCTGGAAAAGTGAAATGATCTCCCAGATTTCCTGACTTCCATCTTCTTCCTCTCCTCCTTTTCCTGATGGCCACTACTGAGATTCCCCTACTTAAAAGCTCTCTAAGACTGTCTCTTGCCTGCAGGATTAAGTCCAAGTCACTTAACATCTTTGATGATCAGTCCCTATCACCTTACCTACTCTAAATTCTCCTTTACAAGTGTCCCTTGTAAGCACCCAGAGCCTCTTTAATCCCTAACTAGGCACTGACATCTCACATCTGCTCCACTGTCCTGAAATACCTTTTTACCTTCTAATTCCTGAGTTAGTCCTATTTATTTTTTGGTTTCAAAGCTTAGGTGTATCTTGTCTCAGAAGTTCCTCCCAACTCTTCAGTCTGGGTTAAAGTCCCACTTATATGCCTGCATAGCGTTTCCAGATTCCCTCTATCACTACTTATTCTGTATCCTGCTCTGGTTGTCTGTGTCTGCGTCCATCTTTCCCACCAAAACACAAGCTCAGCAGAGCAGGAATTAGACACACTCCTTTCTAAAGACCACACAGTCTCATAGTCCTAACACCAGCAGGGGTCACTGTGGATTTGCTGAAAACTGAGAAGTCTTTCTCCTCCATGAGCATTTATTAAACATCTACCTCTTCTGGGTTTGCAGGTAATCTGCAAGGGGAGGAAGAAGGGAATTATCCCCATTTAGAGAGAAGTAGCAGCTCACAGAGAAATGTACTAAGTAGGAAGTTCCAGCATGGAGCTGGAGTTGAGGTCCATGCGTTCTCAGTCTGTTACACTCCTCAAAAGAGATGAGTGGTCAATCGTGCATGGACTGACAGACAAACCCTAACACAAGTGAATGGCTATGCCATGCAGGAGACAGATTGTTTTCAAGAATAAAAAGCTCACCTAGAGGCAGCAGGTTTTCTGAGGCATTGATATAAATCACAGAACTAAAATGCTTGAAGTCCTTTTCCTTCGCCTGTAGGAAGGCATTTCAGAAAAAAACACAAGATTAGTTCTCTGCCTGGAAGCCTTGCTGAAGCTCCAGAGCTGCTGCCAGAAAGAACAAAGACCTAAAGGGATAAGAGACATCCTTAATGCAAGAGCATCCATGTGTTGAGAGCTGTAAGGGATTTCCTGCTTATTTTTTCTACTATGAAATATTTCACATGTACAGAAAAATATATTGAATGGTACTCTGAAAATTCATGCAACCATTATCCAATTATAATAAATAAGAATATTTTCCTGTCTTTGTGTGAAAAAAAATTTTTTTTTTGGTACTGGGGCTTGAACTCAGGGCCTTCACCTTGAGCCACTCTACCAGCCCTATTTTTGTGAAGGGTTTTTTGAGATAGGGTCTCGCGAACTATTTACCCGGGCTGGCTTGAAACCGCGATCCTCCTGATCTCTGCCTCCTGAGTAGCTAGGATTACAGGCGTGAGCCACCGGCGCCCGGCTTTTGCTTGAAGTTTTGTTAAAGAAAGAAACCATTAGAAAGTTGACTACCACCATCACCCCTCATATCATCCTCTCCAGTCCCATAATAGCTATCTTGAATTAGTGACCATCATTCCCATTCCTTTTTTGTACTTGTATTATATACGAACACACGCATATGTATGTATATCCATTAACCATGCAGTGCTGTTTACATGCTTTAAAACTTTACATTAAATGCAATCATATGGAAGGTCTTCTGCAATCTGCCTTTCTAGTCAACAGTATCAATGTCAGACAGGGAATTAAATTCCCAAAATTCAAAGGCAAACTCAAAGCTAGATTTCTAAGGTGAGTTCCTTTAATTCATGTCAAATGGGACAACGGCAATACCAAACCAGTAGCAAAAGTTTGTGTCTCAGTGTTGTCTTCACCTAGTGAGTTCTTGTCTGACTCTTCCCTCCCTCCTTCCATGTGACTGTGGTTCCAATCACCAGGAAATACGGAGGTGCAACACATAAACCAGAAGAGTCAGGTGCCCCTCAGGTCTCGCTCATCTCATCTTTGCCATTGGCCTTACCTTAGATAACTTCAGACCACTCACATTGACACTCCGCAAAGGTCTGACGGCTTTATCCTTACCAGTGATGCCTTCAGCTGGGAACACAGAACACAGAGTTAGTGCTCAAAGACTCAACACAATATAAACAGTAATTAAGCCTATTTTTGATCACCTTCTCATCTTGTTGGGCAATCTCATACACTTGTCATGTGTTTTGCTTGCTTATTCATTTATTCATTATTCATGTTATTCTTCTGCCAAATCAATATTTACTGAGTAGCGCTTTGTCAATGCACTAAGTAGTTAAAATACATTAACAGACTTTCTCCTAACTAATTTCTTCGACATAAGGTAGATTATCACTTTTTTTTCTCTTTCTTCTTCTTCTTCTTCCTTTTCTTTTTCAGTGCTGGGGAACCAACCCAGAGCCTCACACATACTTGGAAGTGTTTGTCATTGAGTTAATCATCCCTCTCTATTTTCAATGAGATTAAGGTAGGTTAAGTGCCATCTAAT